AAGAGGCATACAGTCGAGGGAGGGTTGATAACAGTGGGAGGAGGTTCGTAAAGGGTCAATAGTGAATGTTTTTACTCCAGACTAAAAAAAAAAAACAAACTTCACCAACGTTTCTACACTCTAGGTTAAAAAATCTGTTTTGATGGAAGAGAGTGAACACGTAGCAACGACAACTGAAGTACTTCCTGCAGCGATGTACAAGAGAGAACGAACCAGCATGAGTCTGCCAGTGTATAAGTGCTATGTAAATTTAACAGCAACACAGTCTCAGTTAAACCAAATGTGATGCCGTTTCCTACAGTGTTAATGCTGCCATTATGATGCCAACGTGCAGGAAGGAATGAAGGGTTATCGCTACAGGAATGCAGTAAATACGAGGAAGACGAGAAGGAGGAAATCAGGACAAGATTTTTAGGGACAGTAAAAAAGAAAACTTCCTCCATAACCTGAATGAAGTGAAGTAGAAAATCAGAGCAGAGGGAAATAGATACTCCACCGGGAGAAAACCTAGCATCATCCTTCATTTTGCAGACCCACTGTATAAAAATGTGTAGAGGATTCTTGGTCTAATTTTAATCTATGACCAGACTTAAAAAACAGGAATAACATGCTATTATTACAAACTGCACCCATTTTACACAAAGCATTTGAATATATACACATATACATCCATACATACAGTATATACACATATACATATATATACATCCATACATACAGTATATACATACATATATACATATACATACATATAGATACATATATACATATACACACACACACATATATACACACTTATATATACACATATACATATATACACATATTTACATATATACATATACATCTATACATATATACACTGTATACACAGTGTTCCCTCACTATATCGCGATTCTCCATTCGGTCCCTCAGCATATACTATTTTGTTATTTTAACAGCAGGAGTAGATTTGGGCTCTGGGAACTGTATTTTCTATTTTATTTAAAGGTGAACGTGTGAAATTTGTCCATATCTGGCCTAGTGTACCTTGTGACCCTATGCACAGGGCATGGGGAAAACAAAAATATGAGCTAGGAATAAAGAAGGGATTCCATGACAATTTTTGAAATTAGGGAGTCAAGCAAAAGGCCCATGAAAACATTGAAAGTACTCAGCTGTGAGTTGACTGAACTTCAGTTTGAGCTGGGTAGATTTGTTCACACTTTAAGAAATAGGACGTGGCACTTGATTGATTCTGAGGCTCAGAAACGTTCAGCCGTTCCATTAGACCGTGCACGGACTCAAAAACCGAGCCCAGTGCTCGGTCTAACTGCATCATTCATCACAGTGGTGAGTGAAGAATGACTGCTCCCTCTGGAAGCCCCAGGTCGTCCTTCGGGCTGAGTGTCCACAGTCACAGAAAAACAAAAAAAAAAAAAAAAAGGTCCCCTGGTGTCACAGTGACACAGTACAGCTGACGTACACCCACGGGACAGGACACCACAGCATGGTCGGATCAGGTATAACATTAGGCCACTAATATATTTTTAAAGGACCTTGGTGTTGGTCACATGTCAGCAAAAATATGTTCAAGGTGCCCCGGTACATGTGAATAATGGATGGAGGAGCACAGCAGAGGTGAAAAAAAACAAAACACAAGCAAAGTGTTAAAGTTCCTAAGACTGTTTGTGAATCCTAATAACACAGAGTTATGGACGATGCTAATACTGGCATCTCTTTAAGGTAATTACATTTACTTGCATTGATGTTCTCACTCAGATAAAGTTATTCGTAATACAACTTAAATCTACTTTACCAGGATCTGAAGTAGAACCCTCCTTAACTAAGGCAATTTAAATGGTCTAATTCCACTCTAAATTATGGGCCTGAGGTTTAGCTTTTTTATATTTAGCATTTTCTTCTTTTACAAGTGTTCTAATACAGTAAAACATAGTATTTCATATTTTCCTTTTACGTATGTTTTTATATCCTTTTGATCCCATTTGATCAATTAATGTGAGTAAGAGAGCCTCACATTTTCAAGATGCACAACTTAGTTCTAAGGTTAGTTTAATTCGATACAACTTTTTTCATGTGCGATAGCGATACTGCAGTTTGGACAATCTGCTGATATCAATCTGATACCTTCTTCTCTCTTCCAGCATGCCGTAAACTGCCATTGCTGAGGTGACGTGTCCCTGTTGCGACAACATGTCGTGCAAAGTCGAGTGTTTGGGCTTAGGTGTTGGAATGGACAGGCTATAGTTGGTTTTTTTCCACAGTTCAATACGGAAATTTGGACTAATATTAGACCGATACCAATCCTGAGTGTCGGAATGAACCATTCCTAATACACACACAGACACACACATTGCTGGTGTCACCTGTGCCTCTCCTGTTTTTCAATGGAAGCACAAAAATGGATCCCGACTCTCTCTGCCACAAAGCACACACAAACAACTGTGGACATACACCTGGATGTGACAGGGAACAGGCACGGAGCAGGTGGAACAATCTGCATAACTGAGGCTGTAAATGTAGAGGGGAATGAGAGGTGACATTTCTGTGACACACGCACACACACGGAGACAAACTGACGCGCTGATGTTGACGAGCAGTGACAAAGGTTTCTTTTTGACTATGAGACGACTAACTCTTCTAACGTGAACCATATTGAGTCAAGGATATTTTACTGCTTAAGCACACACTCTGAATATAAAATCATGTAACACTGTGCAGTCAGACAAGGTTGAACAGTCTTGAGTTGCCAGGTAGATTATGAAAAAAGCAGAGGCAGCAATAAAAATCCTAACACCTCTTTGAAATTGTAGAGGTTTGTTACATCTGCAACGTTAGGATGTGATAAATATTTTATGAATATTATGTTGTGAAGAAGATTAAAGACCCAGAGTTGGCAGACTACTGCAAGAAGTACGCGTGCTGCTGCATTTACATTGACAGCAATCAGAAAATCCTTGACCATGTATAGATTTCTGTGGAATGGTATTTAAATTTGTGCTTGGGCCTTGTATATTACATATGATACTATAAGAATTTTATTAAGTTTTTTTTTTTATCGGGCTAAGAAATGCTTAGAAAAAAAAAGGCAAATAAATTGCGGTTATCTTTAATGTCAAACTAAAATGTATATTAAAGGGTGTGCTGTGCTCATTCAAAGAGGATGAAGAGGTTAAAGACCAAAACAGTTCAGGAATGTTTCCATTGCACAAAGTCAGGAATAAACAACAAAAACAAAAAAACATCGATATCAGCCCAGAATTTCACAATCGGTTCATCCCTAATGTCGACCAATCTAAAAAACAAAGCAGGATATGGGCTCAGACTTTTAGATGTTTTGGGGAATTCATGACTCAGGATGTCTGCGAGGCCTTCTCGTGTCCTCCATACTGACGGCAAAAGGTCAAATCACAGTTGTCTTTAACAAATAGATTAGAGTCGATTGAACTTTACTGATCCCTCACCGGAAAAATTGTTGAAAATAGCCATGCAGAATAGATCTGTTGCAGTAGTGGCTCTGCTGTAAAATACTCTCCAATCATCTCCATGCAGTAATATCTTCAGGTGGTCCAAGGGATTCAATTACAGACACCATTTCCTCTCCTCTCATTTATACTTTCATCCAAGGTTTTTAATGGACATTTTGGATTTTTAGGGAAAAACAGGCAAAGATAACTATAGTGGACTGTTTTCATTAGGAAGGCTGCAGCACGCGGTTATCTTTTCTTCTGGAAAGATAACTGCAACAGACAAATTAAATCTGTGTATGTGCCTACGTCGGTTCCTACCTTTGTTTGCACAAGCCATCCATTTTAGATTCTCGGCAAAGGCGGACTCTCGACCAATCAGGTAAGGGAATATGCGGACCTGTGGAGAGACAGCAGATAAGGAATGTCAATCACTGTAATCGCTTATTGATATGATCCACCCCCTCGTCATTATCATCAACACCACCAGACGGAAGATAACACTGTCAAAGCCCGAGACAGACTCCCCCTGTTTCATGGACTTTATGAAGTAAAGAGTTCCGTAAAGTTTTAATTATGTCTTTATATTATATATATATTTAGAGAGAAAGGGAGAGAGAGAGTGTAGTTTAGTATAGTGCGTATACATATGATATATGGTAAGTGATGTAGGGAGTCACTATAATAAAGGATGTAAATGATGTTCCACAGCATCATGTATTCAGTGGTGGGGATTTTCTGAATGGTCTGCCAAATCACTTTTGCCCAGCAGTGCACTGTTGGCTCTAACAGCAGGGGTAGGACAGGTGTATGTGTGTGTGTGTGTGTTTGCATATGCAGAGCTGGTTGCCAGATTGGACCAGATGCAAGGCTTTAGGGGCCACAGCTGTCATGGCATCCATGTCTACATTTTTTTGCTACCTCCTATCACAGTGACAGGGAGGGTGTGTGTGTGTGTGTGGTATTAATCATAATGTGGGGAAAAAGATTTTTTCTGAATCATTTTGAAGGGATGACTTTTATAAGAGTGGTACAAGTATTATTTCCAGTTGATAACTTAAGTGAAAGTGAAATTAAAGTGATGTATTGTCATTGTGACACAGCTCAAATTCTATATTTGGTTTTACAATTTATGAAAAAAATTCAGTAAACAATTTTTATACTTCAAGTGAACAGGACTGAATCTACTGTATATTTAACAGGTTTACTGAACTAAAGGTTTTCATTATCATCGTCTGAAGGGACTTCATTAATGTTTCATGTAGTTTCATTATTAATAACAGAGACAAAAATGACCATGTTTTTTTTTTCTATCTCTCAGCTGGTGGTCAAACATATAGTAGACTATAGTGATTAAATATGAAACAGATTTAATGCTGGGTCAAGACCAGCAGCAGCAGCCACAACATGCAAACTTCACCACACATGAGTGCACAAGTTTGACAACACGGCAGTAACAACATTCACTGTACTGTACACGTACACGTATGTGAGTGTGTCCATGATCACTGTAAGTACAGGAGACCCTGAATACTCAATTACAGCATTTGGGGTTTTTTTCTTTAGTCAAAGGTTTGCAGGGTTGCATGCCGTAACTATCAAAAGTTCATCACTACCTTGGGAATTGTCCATTTTTTAACATTATTAAAAGAATACTGTTAACAGATCAGATCCACAGACAATCATTTAAAGGCAGGCTGAGCATGGCTTTCCAGTCTCGTGTGTGCACCCTAGAGTACCACCACGTTCACTCAGCCTCTTTCATTTATCTCTCAGTGTCTTTCACCTTCACCTTCAACAATTGCTCACCGTGGCACAGAAGCACTCATTTATGTATTCTATCAAACCCCAGGAATCAAGTGATTATGTCATGACTGATTTGGCATGTGGTACCTACAGGTCATGGTAGTGATAGTATCTACTATTGGCTGCTGCATTTCCACAGAGAAAGACTCAACATGTTTAAGCATATACAGAGTTGACAAGAATCACCTGATACCACCAAATGATGATACCATTGTACTCCAATACAGGCGTACAAGTACGAGTAATTTCGTCCTTGTACTCCACCAATACAGAGTACTGTCACATCACTCCTTAGGTTGTGTTTCAATAAATGTCAGTGAACTAGAAGGCAAATAGGGTGATGTGCAGTGTGGGAGTGAGCTCACCAAGCACTACAATGCTAACAGCCGGTTTGAGTTCCTTCTCAGTAAAAGTTGTCGTCTGACTCTGATGCTGCATGCTATTGAAAGTGAATGAGGTTATTAGAAATTTAGACATACTCTATGATGCACGTATTCTGGGCCTAGTGAACTTCCAGAGTACAGTACATAAAGTTCCACATTTCACCTCAAACATACTCATCATTTCCACCATCTCCATAACAATGTACAATCACTTAACCTCATAAGAACAAATTACTAGCTCATAATATAATATACGTGATCTACAATCTTCAGCTAGGATTTCTATAATTAAAAAATTCCCAGCATTGCTAAGATTCTCAGTCTTCCATATTATTTTCTATCAGAAATTCAAAGATGTAAAAAAAACCAAAAAAAAACGAAAACATTCAGACTGGATTTGCATCCCACACTCTACACATTAATTTGAATACATGCAGTTTGATGTAATACAGTTGCAGAGCCACACGGCTCCACAAGCTATTAACACTTAACAGTGTTCAATTCAGCGTGTGTGTGTGTGTGGGACTGACAGAGACTGAAGACTTCCATTAACAGCAGGGTTTCTTCTAAATTAAAGCATCTCACATCCGTGTCCCTTCTTTCATCACTGTACAGCCTTGGGACAAGTGTGTGCATATACAGTGTGTGAATTATCATTTTATTTATTGTGAGAACCGTTCATGATTGAGTAAGGTCAGTAGATTATTACGATAAATGACGACTCCAAATCTCTAAAGAGGCAGCAGATGGAACTTAATGATCAGATTAACGGCGATTGCCTTCTTCATATAGACCCGCCTGCAGTACCGCTGTCATACTTGATAACATGTATTTTTCCGGGGCAGTAGAGCTGTGAGAGAAAAGTTCTTGAAGGCTAGCAGAGACTGAGTGGGCTCAGAGGGGGTCTTTCTTAGAGACCTTTAACACCACAGCTAAGTATGGGTCTGTCTCTGAGGTGTGAGCTGTCTCACTGCTGTCCTGCTAGGTAATTGCAGTTGTGTCCTGACAGGCTGTGAAATGGAACAGGAGGAGGATGGAGAAGAGAAAAGATGGAAGGAGGAAAGAGGTTCACTTTGGTGGTTTTTACCTGTAAGATCAAACTAGAATAAAACCCCTAAAGATGATGGTGATGCAATTCATGCTTAGGCTACAACACATTTCCAGCTGGGTACCTGGAAATGCAAAGGTTAACGGTTAATATCTCCAATTTAACCAGTGTCAATGAAACAGTTGTGTTAGCATATGTTTTTGTGGATATCATTAAAGACCTAGTCCATTTGAAGTCAAATGATCTGTCTTCATAACTCTTAACTATTCTCACTAAAATGACTGTAGATGTGAGCTAATATTGTAAAGGAATTAATACTGCCATTTGTTTTGGTAACCACAGATGTTTAAATTCCACCGAACAGTCGCTCAAATTATTCATTGTTTATTCAATTTATTTTTATTTAAGTTTTGTTGTTCAATTTTTTCCCACAGTTTTCCACTGCGATGTCATCTGCAGCTACAGAATGTTTCTGTTCATCAGTCCACTCCCTTTTCCAAAGCTCATCCTTCACTGGAAAGCACTACATTTCGTCAGACACCATGACGTTTTGAACAAAGCACACTGGGAAATTGAGCTCAGTCGACCTTGCCATAACAGTCCTGGAACACAACTGCAGAATGTTGTGATGAATGAGTGTTTGTGTGTGATGAATTAGCTACCTTTCTCTCTGGCCAGTTATATTTGGCAAAGATGGCATCGTACGTGTCCACGGCTCCATCTGTCACCAACATAATGGCTTGGCTGCACTCGCTGCCTCGTCCTGTATCATTGAACTGGAGATAGAAAAAAAAAAGGAAGAAGGATGAGATGTTAACTGAAGATGAACAATAACAGAACAAGACCCTGCATCCGAAAGCGGTCCGAGAGGCCAAAACTGAAGAAGCCCCGTGGATGAGAGGTGAAACGTTTTCAAGAAACCACGACAGTCCAGTTGTCCTCTGCTATACTGCTCCTGATTGATTGATGACTTTGTTTATCCCCGAAGGAAAATTAGGTAAAATGACCTGGTCGACTGACAATCTACACAGACGAGGCTTCACATCTAAACTTTTTTTAACATTATCAAATATTGCATAAACAAGACTTTAGTAACATTTTTGCAAGATGGAAATCTGCGATCACAGCTCACAACATAGACTTCTTTAATCACTAGATATTAAATCATGTTTTAATTTTTTTAAGGCCAAACAAAGATATCTTGAATTTATGAATTCTGAGTAAATTCTAAGCTGCCCAACACTCTTGGTAATTATGCACAGTGTGAAATAAAGCTGTGAAAATAGGTCTTTTCCTGTTGCACTATTTTAATTTTTCTAATTTGGTCTCATGTGGTGTAGAGTAGCTGTACTGTATGTCATTTTAAATTAGTGTTTTTCTCCATTGTAGTCTGTAAGAGAGAAGCTCATGTAGCAGAACACAAAGACATTTTTGTAACAATACACAATACAAACTCTATTTAGTTTATAATTCCTGACTCGCTGAAACTTTTACCAAACTAATTTATGGTGACAGAAACCACCATCTGTGCAAATAAGGCTTTTCTAATTTGAAAAGGTCAGAAATAGATTACAATACATAGCCTGACGCCTGGTAAATACTGGATGCACAAACAGCAGCACATATTGAAGTAAAAAAAAAAAAAAGAAGATAAAATTTGGAGGTTGGCCGAAATTGACAAGATTGACTAAAAGTGCACATTTTCCATTCTTTGTAACAAAAAAGTATCTTCTTGCATTGAGTGGATGCATCACCATCCAGGGCGAGGTGGGGTCAAGGTGCTGATTGTTTATGCATATACTGTATGTGTGTGTACGTGTGGCGGACTTACGTCACCGAGAAGTGTGAAGGCCTCAGTCAGAGCGATGTCTAACATACCAATGCCTTGAGCAAACAGTTTGTCCAGATGCTCCCGAAAATGCTGCAGAAATGAAAGGGAGTGAAATAAGACATTATTGTCAGGGTAAGTCTGGCCATAGGACATTTGAATTATTGGATTAATTACTGTTCTATTAAATGAACACTTAATCAGTTTGCAGACCTCTAAATTAGGACAACTGAATCTCCCAATTTCCAGACAGAGGAATACCCCGGCCCCTTTATAAACATTATCATCACCTATCTATAATTTCTACCCATTTTTCTATCTTTATCATTATCTCCTCCAGCCTTTTGCCCCAGACTGAGGGAGGGGACCGTCTCTGTTCAAACACAGGAGGGGGCTTCAGACACGGAAATCCATGTCCTGGCCTGCTCAGCAGGGGGAAATACATAAACATTCATACAGGGACACACGTGCAAACAACACACATAAATATGTGCACAAAAAACAACCTGCAGCAGTTCTGGGGAAAAAAAAAAAAAAGTCCAGAAGAACCTTTTACTTTGATGTGGATAACAGGGGGTTAATCCAAGACCGTACCCTGAAGAGAGAGAGGGAGAAAGAGACAGACTGTGTGCCTCTGTGTGTGTGTGTGTGTGTGAGGGTAAAGATTGTAGAGATTTGTCTCAGCACAGCAGGAGATGTTTAGTCCCTGTAGCAGCAGCCTAATGCACCGGAAGATTTAGAAAGTGTGCGTATGAACAGTCTGTGTGTTTTCACAGCTAAACGTGCTTCAGCACTCACGCCTCACCGCAAGACTCAATAATTTAACAGGGATCAGTTTAATGAAGTTATTAGTAAAACACACGATTAGGACTCGCTGGCAAGTGAACAGTCGTATGTAAAACCGTAACCTCTCAGTCGATTGCTGATTAGTCGATTTTCAGTCAAAATTGAACGGCTTGCCATTTATTTCAAACCCTAAAATGTAACAATTTTAAACAACATAGAATGAGACATGAGTGTATGGGTACAGAGGTGATTGTAATCTTGTCCTAAAATAAAGAAGCACCTCTTCACTCTGTTCCATCTCTCTCCCTAAGTTGGAGCTTCTTCAAATCTCTTCCGTTGATCGTAAACATTGAACCTGAAATAATACTTTAAGCTGTTATTTCAGACATCCCAATAAATAAAAACAGAGCTTGGATTTAGATAATTTGGATCAATGTCCGTTAATAAGACAAATAACTTCTCTGCTCATACGTCTCATGACAGGACAACAGTTGTTTATGTCTGGGCTGGAGTTTAAGGTTGGAAATCAGTTCCTTTGGACACAAATCGGTGAGTTTTAAAGTCTGACAGCGTGACAGACTCTTCCAGCCGCAGTTAAAGACATTAGTCTTATCTGGGAGTGCAGGCTCTTTTCCTTCCTTCTCTCTGAGCTCCGTAGAGTCACACAGTACAGATCCAGCAGCTGGATTCAAACACATACAGTAAGGCAGGTCTATATGCATTAGCTCTACAGCAGTGTCAACACTGTCAAGCAAAAAGACAAAGAAACTTAAGTCTGGCATCAACAGGTGCACGTTGGCAGCACGTCTGGTGGTACATGATGCACTGGATTGTAAACAGCTACGTAAGCCTAATTTGACCTGTACATGTATAGGTTTAACTGTGTTTCTTAAAGTAGGGGTTGCAGATCAAAGGATGCAGCGAGTAAATACCAGTAGTCTTATCTACAAAGAGTTATGAGTTCTACAGAAAGTGTCCTAAAGTCACTGGAAGTGGGGTTCAAATGAACTTGAGGGACTGAGATTTGTGAGAATTCTGTGCTTCATATTTTGGCGAAATGTAATAAAACTTGGCCTTTCTGAAAATTCCTCAGCTTTTTACTTAAATTTAAACTTCCTCAACCTCTCAAGTTTTGATAACATTTCAGTTTTTCTGGCAGTTCCACAAAATTTTGGGTATTTGTTAGATTTGGATCAGATTTTCTGCACATTTTATTATGTTCTATTTATATTTAGCTGTAGGTTTTAAGTGTTAAGTCACTACGGTGGATGCTTCGCTAGCCAATACTAAAAAATAATGGTTTCTTTTGGGTTCTTTTTTGTTATTTTTGACTTACCAGACTGACCAGTAGGGGAACCATGCTGTCTTCCCTTAAATTATTAGTATAAATATAAAACTAAATGGTAGTCCGCATGTGTGATCTGGTGCAGTATTAAGTTGATGATTCTGCCAGACACGTCCAGAGTCTTGACTGACTCTCACTCATCATCAGCAGAAAGGAAGTAAGAGCAGTAAAAATGATGAATGCGTGTAACATTAGTAGGAAACAGTAGATGAAAACAGATACTCACGTCTTTGTTGGCGACATCTGCTTGAACGAGGGTTCCATTAAGACATGGCTCAACGTAATGCAACTCTTCATTGAACTAAAAGGAAAAAAAAGAAAAAATGTAATACTGAAAAGTCAAGAAATGGAGAAACACACAAATATGGAGTTTTAAAAGTTTAAAAACAGCTGGTTAAAGTTGTGTAATTAAATGAAGCAATTAAGTAATTCCTAGGAAAAAACTAGCCTGTTTCTATTGTTTTTATTTTTGGATAAAGACTCTGTCTCTGTCAGATTGTGTAAAATATTTTTTTGTTGTTGCTGCTCTGCAAAAGAAAAAAAACACTTTGTTTATTAGGAAATCGGATAATAATGAAGGCGTTGTTGTGCGGTGAAAGATAGAAGAGTCTGGCAGAGTGACTATGTTGTGTTTCGGATGTAAAATAGCACCAAACACACACACACAGTCACACACACACCAGTATGATAACAATGGGCTGATGTGCTGGAGGCGGGATCCCAATCAAAACTGTCTCTTTTGCAATTTAAATCTTCTTTCAGCAGACAACTAATTGGCTGTGAGCGTGACAGAAGGGGAAGCTGATTTGCTCTGGAATTATTTTCTGATCTCATACACTGTGTGTGTGTGACTGACAAATTTTCGATCGTGTTTCTCAATTTTAACCTTTTGCACCATCACACAGAGTCTCAGGGATAAGATTAATTTTATACCAGAATAAAGTGATACTTAAAACTTCAAGATCAGCTGGATAATTCTGGTGGCAGAGCCTTTTAGGAGTGGGGCTAAATACAAAAGATATAATCACATCTGAATGGTTGCTAAGAGATGGACTTACAGCTATAATGTTGAAGAAGTCATCATCTCCTAAAGTGTCCAGGATGGAGGAGACTGTCTGCCTGGCGATGGTGAGTCTGAGACCCTTCATGCTGCCGCTCACATCCACCAGGATCACCACATCTTTCGGTGAGGTGGCAGCCTGGATGTACCACTTCCTGTTTCTACAGTCAAACGCTATGACTCCATGTTCATCTGGCTTCCACTTGATTCCTGTAGTAGCGACCCGAGATGTGACGCTGACCTACATTTGATCAATTTCATATATTCAGTGCCGAATAGAAATCCTTCTAACTTACCTGGGTACTGCCGGAAAAAACCCTTGGCACTGCCAAAGTACTGCCATATTAGTGACGGGTCCCTCTCAAAGTTATCCACAAACACTTTGTTCAGGGCCTCAGACCAGTAAACTCCATTCACAATGGCAGAGTCTAAGAAATTAGATGAGCACAAAAATGATGACCCATTCACAATGGCAGAGTCTAAGAAATAAGATGAGCACAAAAAAGGATGACAGAACAGTTTAGTGCATTTTTTTTAACCTTGGGGTCACAGCCCCTTGAGGGGTCGCCTGGAAATTTTTTTTTTTTTAACCTTGGGGTCACTGCCCCTTGAGGTGTCGCCTGGAATTCAAATTCATAATTCAGTGATTGACAAACTGTTTGTACAGTATTAATTTTCAGCCTTGTAAAGATAAGTTTACCTAACAGTACATGTGTTCAGAGAAAATTAAATCTTTCTTTGTGCAATAATATGGCTATTTATGTTTTTGCAAAACAATATAACAAACAACAAACAAAAAAGAAGCTTAGGTTGAACATGTTTTAATTACATGTTCAATTAATTACAATTTACTTATTATATTATGTTAAATTATATTTGAAAAAAATATATTAAACTCATGGCAGCACTGTCGCCTAAATTCATTTTAAATTAACCTAAAGACTAGTACTTTATTTACTTAACCTTAATCGGGTTTTCTCTAATTATTTTAAACTGAACTTAATTACACGTTCGAGTCTGTCGGCTCTGACAGCGTTTTGCATCATAGCCCATGGTTTCCTAAATACTTGTCAACATGTCAACCAGTTATATGAGCACAAGAACTGTTGAGGAATATTCAGATAATTGTTTTCATTCAAATGTCATGTTATAATAACTCACAGACACCACTTAACTCTGCATGTCCTCGTACAGAGCGAGGCTGGACAGGAGCACAGCTTTGCGACCGAGACATACATATAGTCTTAACTTAAAACCTTTAAGCTTTAACACAAAAGTCGACTCCACTTAATGTACTATTTATTAGACAAGCCAGACCAAGACGACCGCAGAAACGATGTAAAAACAAAAGCATAGGCTCAAAACAAAAAGCTATTTTAGCGTTTGGACGAAACCCACCGTGGTGTGGGTGAATGCGAGGCGTATGCTGCCTCGTTGCGGGCAGGTGCGCCTGCAGTTAACTATTATTAATTACTATTACTATTAATGAGTAAAACATTGAAATATGCCAGTTCTGATATGACCATATTCTCAAAACGAACGGAGCAACCTAACGCAGACATGTTATCTTACCGTTTCTAGGTGAAATGCCATGTTTGTTGTCGTGCCGTGATATACAAACAGTTGCTTGCAAACTTCATTCGACTTTTTTTCCGTTATTGGTAACATACTGCTACACTGTCGATGTTTTTTTTAATTCATGAAACTATTAGCATACCATGGAACTTAGAACTTCTAGCACGTTGTCTAATTTGTTTGTCTGCGGTTTGGGCTAATCCAAAATAGTGAAAACAAGGGGTGTGTTCAGACCTGTGCTCTTCACAGGTGCTCTGTAAACACCCCCATTAGCACTTGGTACTTTCCTCCTGATGACGCTTACCCTTCCACATCCCCTAAGAAATCAATCATTCGGAATTTTGGTCGAGCCATAACGTTCAACCAATCAGAATTTTGGTCGAGCCATAACGTATCAACCAATAAATCGACCAGTCAAGTGGGAGATTACAGTCTTTGAGCATCTGCTCAGTTTACAGGCTGAGAAAAGAACGGGTTTGTAACTGGATATCAGACAGACAGCAGCCGAGGAGCTTATTAAGGCTCTTTATGAGCGCAATTTCTCTAAGCTCTCAAGCAGAGAGAAAGAAAATGGGGGGAGAAAATGGGATGGACATTCACACAGTAGGACAGACAGCTAAAGCTCTTTAGAAAGAGAGAGAGAGAGAAGTCCGGGATTCGTCGACAAAAAATTACTCACAGACAGAAAGACATTCAGCTAATGGAGAAAGAGAAGAAGAAAACAGATTCCCATCATCTCCCATACACCCATCATTGTTCTCCTGTCAACAGCTACGCCAATAAATGGTGATTGAATTAGCCGTCCGCTTGACATTAGCTCAGTGAATCCTCCTCTCCTGACAGTAAACAGCCTTCCACCTCCATGGACACAGACTAAAGAAGGCTGGCCCTGATCCAGGCTCAATTTACACTGCAATGCATTCACCTCTGCAGCAGTTAGAGGGTCTATTACAATCTGAGCTCATTACAATTTAAGCAAAACTCCTCTCTGAGCTGTCTTTTAAATTCATATCCCCTTATGCAGACTTTATTTCAAAGTTATCTAAGAGGCTGCTGAGATTTTTTCACAGGGGATTAAAAGGCAGAGCAGTGATGAGGTGGTTTAAAAAAAACGAATTTAATATCGTGGAACAAACGTAAGGTTATTTTCTGAGAAAGCATGGCCACCGACAAAGATAAAGAAACACAAACTTTTTTTTACTTTTTGAACAAAAGCAGCCTTGAATATAACTTAAAATAACTCAAATGGAACAAGAATAAGCCAGGAAACAGATTCAATCCACCAAAAAGTTGCCAGACTTGTTTAAAAAATGGTAATTAGCCTTGGCATAACTCAATTTCCAGAGAAAAAGCCTATTTTATTCTAAATATATATGACAAATAAGACTATAAATTTTCCAGGTTAAGCACTGATATCTAAATGTAACTTCAAACTTTTACAACAAAAAAACTAACACAAAATGACTAACAGTTAAATGAAGCTAAAAGTTCCACAACAAATCCCCAAAAGCTTATCTAGAAACACTAAACAATAAAGTCATAAATAGCTTGTATATTTCTTTTTAATTTTCCTCAGAAATAACTAAACTGAGCTTAGAAAAATATATCAGAGGAAGCTCTGGGTTTATGCTAAATTTGGCTAAATTAGCTTAATTCATTTTTAAAGTTAGCTTAAAGATATTTTTACTGTTTTCAGATAAATATTGTAGGTCCTATTAATTTTTAATTCTGTAAAGATCAGTACTATAAATAATGACCTCTCACACTGGTCTCTGCAGACGCTTATGTAAGCAGACATATATTTAACCATGTAATAATGGGGCAGTGTGTTTAAAGTTGGTTGATAATAAATTGAATGCATTAATGTTGCAGTGAATAAAAACAACAGATGGGACCGACTGAACCACCAAAGGCTCATGACCAGCAGTGTGTGATCATCTAATGTCTGCATGCTGGTTTAGCACATGGATAATGAAATTATTACTATTATTGTTATTATAGTCAGTCATCATCATCAATAATCAATGTTCATGTATGTGAGATTATAAGGGTTGATGGTATCATCAATAATCAATGTTCATGTATGTCAGATTATAAGGGTTGATGGTAAAAGCTATTTACATAAAAACCCAGCTCTAAATGAAGTCCCAGTGTCTTTTTGTGACTTTTTCATCGACTGTGTGAAAAAAGACGATGATGTTTTCCCAAAGCTGCCTTTAACTCATGGCCTTCTGCCCATAATGTGACACTGGGAGGTAATTACAGTAGCATGGAAGCTTTGGTGACTTGTACTAAGGTATTACGGCGACAGTCACACCACAAATTAGACATACGGTACAAACTCTGCATTCACTGTCTTAAATTGAACTTTCCCTTCTTCCTTTGAAAAATCTCTTCTATGTGTCATGTTTTTGCTGAGAAAATTGCTTTTAAAAGGTTATGATAAAATA